ACACACACACACACACACACACACACACACACACACACACACACACACACACACACACACACACACACACACACACACACACACACACACACAGGTAAAGGCTCTCTGCCTTTTAATTGTTCTTCACACCTTCAGGAGTACCTGGAAGAGGAGGGTACGGTAAGAAGGTAGAAAGGAGGGAGGAGGAAGCTGGGAGAGAGAATGGAGAAAGAAGCATGGAAGCAGAGGGAGGGAGGAAGAGGAGAAAGGAAAGAAGGGGGAGGAAAGAAGGAGGGAGAGGAGGGAAGGAAGGAGAAAGAGGTGATGGGAGGAAGGGAGAGATGTGAAAGTAGGGAGAGACAGTAGAAAGAGAGGGAGAGATAGTGAGGGAGGGGGATGAGATATTGATGGAGGGGAGAGAGATAAAGTGAGGGAGGAGAGGCCTACCTTGCTCCTCCTACCACCAAAGGTCAACTAAGGCCATTTCTACCTTGACAGGGAGACGTTAATGTCTCCCTTAAGTTGCTCCCTCAAGTTTATTATATATTATAATGGAGAGAGAGAGAGAGAGAGTACTGTCATAGTGTTTATTATGGTCGGCTTCCGGATATTAATAGTTCTTGTTGATAGATTGAAATTACCTGTGACCACCACCACCACTCACTACAACCACAAGTCACTATCACCACCACCAGTTACCACCACCACCACTCACTACAACCACAAGTCACTATCACCACCACCAGTTACCACCACCACCAGTCACTATCACCACCACCACCAGTCAATACCACCACCACCACCACCACCAGTCAGCAGCAGGTGAAGAGACGCACCAGGCTGGCTGACTTCCAATAAGGTCTTGTGTAAAAAACTGATGACTCTCTCTCTCTCTCTCTCTCTCTCTCTCTCTCTCTCTCTCTCTCTCTCTCTCTCTCTCTCTCTCTCTCTCTCTAGCTGTCCTCAGGTCATTCCTCGTGATGGACTCCTGTCATTCCGGGTTGTGTAACGGAGACATAATCCCTCTCCCACTAATGCAGGGTCGTGTAGCCCTCTATTGTGGGAGGCTCTGTTCCATGACACCCTCCCTCTTTTATCCTCCTCCCTCCACTTCCTCTTCTTTATGTCTCTTTCCCTCCTTCTACCTCACCCTCTCCTTCCACCCATTTCCCTCTTCCTCTCATCGCCTCTCTCTCTCCTCCCTCTCCCCTCTTCCCCTCACTAAATGACAGTAAAGACATACGTATCTCTCTAGGTATAGCGCTTCTTTTCCCCAAGCCCTCTTTGCCTTAATACCTCTCTCTCTCTCTCTCTCTCTCCTCTCTCTCTCCTCTCTCTCTCTCTCTCTCTCTCTCTCTCTCTCTCTCTCTCTCTCTCTCTCCTCGTCTGTGTCCGTCTGTGTCTGCCTGTCTATCCTGTTTTTATCTCAGCATCAATTTCCTCACTTTCCTGACAATTACATATACTGACACATACAATTCATAAAGTATACATATACACACCCCAAATATACATATACATATAAAGCTGTTTAGCACTATCTAGATAAAGAGTATCGGTAAATATTTAGACCCAGGAGTAGGGAAAGGTCGTTAAGGGGTGAGTTATGGCAGCGAGACGTCAGGTGGAGTCGACGCCAATGAGTGTGTGTAGGGAGTTAACTTTCTTAATGGCCCCAACGTGAAGTGGTGAGGGGTGAGGAGAAGTGAGGAGGGAGTGAGGAGGAGGAGGTGAGGAGATGAGGAGGGAGGAGGAGGTGTGGGTGTGAAGTAGTAAGGGAGGGAATGAATGAGAGAGAGAAAAACATAATAAAGAGAAGAAAGATAAGAAAAAGAGATAAAGAAATACAGAGAAAATACAGGATATATGATGTATAATTTACGAGATAAAGTAAATAATTATAAAATATAACGTCTGTCTGTCTGTCTGTCTGTCTGTCTGTCTGTCTGTCTGTCTGTCTGTCTGTCTGTCTGTCTGTCTGTCTGCCTGTCTGTCTGTCTGTGGTCCTCACGCCCCACACCGCCTCTATAATGTACTATGCAGACAATAAGTGGCCCCGGGTCGACAAGGGTGAGTTAGTGTGTGTTAAGTAATGGCTCGATCAACCTTAATGACACTATACGGGGGGTTGGCTGCCTAATGACCCGCAGGTGTAATGGACGGTGGAAGGGTTCAAAGAGATGATGATGGTATATATATCACTATCTCTCTTTCTCTCTCCTCTTGAACGTCAGCCTAAATCCACGGTGAAAATGGTGAAGGAAGTTGTGAATGTGTGTGTGTGTGAGAGAGAGAGAGACAGAGAGAGACAGACAGATAGACAGAGAAGAGACAGATAGACAGAGAGAGAGAGAGCGACAGACAGACAGAGACACAACTAAAACAGACACTATCATCGGTCTCAGTCCTTTGCTCGACAAGATTAGATTCAGTGTGATAGTTCTTCTGTATAGATTGAGTGGACGACGCTTCCTCCCTTCTTCTCTTCTTCCTCCTCCTTCTCGTCCTTGTCTTCCCCTCCTCCTGCACGACCTACCCGGCGCTCTTCCTCCTCCTCCTCCCCTTCTTCTTCACGACCTGTCCTCCTCCTCCTACAAGACGAGACGCTTAAGGCGACAACCTCTTCCACTATTGATGTTAATAACCTGGGCCAATTTTTACCTTTATTTTTGTTACGTTACGTTACGTTACGTTACGTTACGTTACGTTAATGATAATAGTAAAATAGCAAAAACGACTTCAAAAAATAAAAATAAAATACCTCAAAAATATTATATATTTTAGAGGATCACAACAAGAAGCCATCTTCCATGACGACTCAACCTTCCTTCACTTTACCAAATGAAAACCTCGGCCGTAGAGTGAGGCAGCTGAGTATGTCTGTCTCTCGGGGCCGTCACTGCTATCTCTCTCTCTGTCTCAATCAACGTCATGTCTCTTTCTTGTCTCTGTCTCTCGTTTTTTTTTTACTTTATGTGCGTCAGTTGCTCCTCTATGGGCTGGGTGTGTGTTTGAGAAAGTTACACGTCACTACCTCTGTGTCATGTAACCAAATATTTGATAGCTCGGAGATGAAGTCATGTAGCCTTTCACATTTTAGATCAGATAAGACGTCATATAGCCAATCATGTGTTAGCTTAAAGATGACGTCACGTAGCCCATCACGTATTAGCTGAGATGCGATGTCTTATAGCCATTCGTGTGTTAGCTCATAGATGACGTCACGTAGCCCATCACGTATTAGCTGAGATGTGATGTCTTATAGCCATTCGTGTGTTAGCTCATAGATGACGTCACGTAGCCCATCACGTATTAGCTGAGATGTGATGTCTTATAGCCATTCGTGTGTTAGCTCATAGATGACGTCACGTAGCCCATCACACGTTATTGTGTCAGGGTTATACAGATGATGTAAGAAACAGAGAAATAATGAAGAAGAAAGAGAAAGAGATAGAAAAACAAAGACAGAATGAAAGAAAATAAGAGAGATAAAGACAGAGAGGAAGAGAGAAGACTAGAGACAGTTCAGTTACACCACAATTCGTTATGTTATTCAAATTTTATACATGCATGAAATTTAAACTGTATTTTTATATAGCATTTTGTACAGTAATGGTCTCGTAGAATTTACATACTTTTAGTTGTTATGTCATTTATACGAATAACAGAGGTGAATTATATAAACGTTGGCAACTGTTTTTAGTTTTAAACGTGGTCGACCGTTACAATGTTCAAATTCATATGTAACGGTTTTAACGGTTGTTTTGCACTTGCTGTAACGACTCCTTGCGGTTTGTTGACATGTTGTTTTGGTTGAGAGAGAAGCAGACTGCCAGAGAAAGATTCTGAAAAAGCACAACTTAACGACTCAGCGACTAAATGACTCAGCGACTCAGTGACTCAACAACTGAAGCCAGTAATGTTATTGTGTTACGGTTACAGTCGGCAGATAGCACTGCAGGTGGTGATAATGGTGGTGGTAGATTGCTGTTGGTAGAAAGTGAAGGTCAACTGTGTCGCAGGAGAGATATTCTTCTTCTTGTTTATGTTGTTATTGTTATTGTTATTGTTATTGTAGTTGTAGTATCTCTTCGAGCAATCACTTCCGTCTTGTTGGAACTACGTGTGTGTGTGTGTGTGTGTGTGTGTGTGTCCGTGAAGGGAGGGAGGGAGGTTAAGGCTCGCTGGTCAGGCTGGTGATGATGATGATGATGATGATGATGCTGATGATGATGATGATGATGATGATGATGGCGGAGACGTCGGATAAAAGCAAGAGTCTATCTTAGGGAGCAATTTTACAGTAAGTTCACACACACACACACACACACACACACACACACACACACACACACACACTGGAGGGATTATTAAAGATGTTGAAGGGACATGGAGGGCCGTGGAAGACTGGATGGACTGTGGAGGGAACCCATCGCTTACTGGAGGAAGTTGAGAGCAAATAGTGAGGAAGAGGATACTAATGTCCCGGGGCCGTGTGACGTTGAGAGAGAGAGAGACAGAGAGAGAGAGATTTACAAGTAACAGTAAGTATTCTAAACACTGGGTTTTACCCGTAGGAGACTTCAATATACTTGTTGCAAACTTCAGTCCAGCAGCTGCAGACTTGATTACATCCTGTTGCAGGTCTCAGTCACCCTTGATTTACTTACAAGTTTGAGAAGAAATTTCATGAGTGGACAGAAGAGAACGAAGAGGAGGGAGGAAGGAGGAGGAGAAAGGGGAGAAGCTGTAAGAAGAAAGAGAGGGAGAGAGAGAGAGGGGAAGGGAGGAAAAAGACTTCCCTAGGTTCCTGCTTCAGTCTAGCCGCCCTCACTCCCTCCCTTTAGATAATATTAATAAGGCTGGTCAAAAGATCTTATCATAATAACTCACTCGGAATAAAAGTCCATTTTGACAACAATGACAAATGTGTGTGTGTGTGTGTGTGTGTGTTTGTAAAAGTATGGCAAATAATAATAATAAAAACAATATTAACCGGGCTCCATATTCTTTGTTTACAGTCATGACGTCACGAAGGACAATGATGACGTCAGCTATGATGCCACTCCTTCTCTTGTTCCTGGTACTTGAGCCTCAGCCTAACGCGGCCGACCAGTACAACACCAACGAGGTAGATGGTGAGTAAATCTTCATTATTTATCTCTCTGTATTCCCCTTTTTCTTTATTTGATTTAAATTGTTTATTTATTTTGTGTATGAAGGTAAGTTGACGAATAGTTTTAAGTAATTTATTTTAAGTTGAAGGTGATCTTCCACGATGGTACGAAGAGACAGACACACACACGCACACACACACACACACACACACACACACACACACACACACACACACACACACACACACACACACACACACACACACACACACACACACACACACACACACACACACACACACACACACATGTATATTCACTGCCAGACAGACATACAAACACTTAAATGCAGTCAGATACAGACAACTTGTTGACACAGAACACAGCGCAGCCTCCACCCTGCTACTGTAAAGGTTACCAGTGTAGACAGGCCTCGGGAGAACATCCGCCTGGCGTTGTATGCAAAGTGTCACATGCAGAATTGATAGGGATTGAGAAAAAATCTCGCCTTACGTAACAAATTATCTACCTGTGTCGCTATTGATCGTTAGTGCTGGCATTACACTCAGAGTAATAAAACCTTACTACTTTATACATAAGCCAGTCACACGTTAGCCAGGCGTAGCTTTCATAAACATGTCACTGAGAGAGATGATTTCCTGTGCCGACGTTGTTGATATGTTGCAAGGCCAAATTACCTCCGGTTATTAATATTACGTGACGCTGTAAGAGGGATGGTGTGACGTCATTGTTTACTTGTTACGTAACTGGACGCTTCATAACAAACAATAACTTGCTGTTAGGGTAATTAACAAACAGCTTGTGAAGTGGAGTGTGTGTGTGTGTGTGTCTGTGTGTGGGGTACCGATAGAGAGTGTGCGTGAGTGTGTGTGTGTGTGTGGGGGGGGGTGGAGTGTGTGTGTCAGGGTGTGGGGTGCAAAGTATGTGTGTGGGGCGTGTGTGTGGGGCAGAGGAGCGTGTGTGTGGGGAGCAGAGGAGCGTCTGTGTGGGGGGGGGTAGGGGTGGAATGTGTGTGTAAGTGTGTTTGGGAAAAGAGTTTGTGTGTGAGTGAGTGAGGTGGAATGCGTGTCAGGGGACGGGGGGGGGGGCGATACAAACCTAAACACATACACACTTGAAAGATGGAAAAACTTGCTTAAAACATCAAATTTTTTAATGACGTCGAAAAAATATATACACACCTGATCTCCTCTCTCTCCTCTCTCTCTCTCTCTCTCTCTCTCTCTCTCTCTCTCTCTCTCTCTCTCTCTCTCTCTCTCTCTCTCTCTCTCTCTCTCTCTCTCTCTGTCTGTCCCTCTGTCTGTCGATCTGTCTGCCTGTCTGTCTGCGTGTGTGTCTGTCTGTCTGTCTATCTATCTATCTATCTATCTATCTATCTATCTATCTATCTATCTATCTATCTATCTATCTATCTATCTATCTATCTATCTATCTATCTATCTATCTATCTATCCATCTAAATATCTATCTATCTGACAAACACACACAGGTTGCAGCAGTAACATAGTGTAGAATAATACCGCCATAAATATTCCATCTGAGGAAGACGCCTATGTTTCTCAGGGGAGGAAGTGGAGGAGGGGGAGGAGGAGGAGAGAGGAGGAGGAGGAAAGATAGTCGAGAAGGAAGAAGGAGAAGAAGAAGAAGAAGAAGAGGGTTGTAGATAATATATTCAGTTTTCAGTCTCCTTATATTACTGGTTGATGAAAGGATACAGCCATGTCGCATTTCCAGACCCGTGCTTGGAATAATCTGAGGAAAGAGAGAGAGAGGGAGAGCGAGAGAGAGAGAGAGAGCGAGAGAGAGAGAGAGAGAGAGAGAGAGAGAGAGAGAGAGAGAGAGAGCCATGAAAGGGGTTGGCTCATAGGTCATTAACGTCACTTATAACGAACCAGGTGGAGAACCAAGGATCTGCTAACTAATGAATGATTTACATATAAATTGTCCAGCTCTCTCACAAAACTGCGACAATTCATATTCTAAAATTGGATTATATGAGTTACCCCCTTAAAAAGTTACGTTTTCTCTTATACCCAGTTTGATTAAATATTTGCCATTTTTTATTTGTTCATATTATTATTATTATTTTATCAAATCAATATAGATTTTTCTTTGTATATTGGTATTTCTGTCTCTCCTGCGGGATTTAATTCTTTTTGGTTAAGGTAATATGCCTTTGAAGTAAGACTTTTTTTTAGCTGTGTGTGTGTGTGTGTGTGTGTGTGCGTGTGTGTGTTTGTGTGTGTGTGTGTGTGTGTGTCAGTTGTACATAGATGCGCTCAACCTTACAAAGTTATGTACAGAGGAGAGAGAGAAAGGGAGAGAGAGTGAAAGAGAATAATGTTGATGAATAACAAAGGAAAGACGATACACAGAAGAGGATGAAGTGAGAAGGGGGAGACAGGGAGGGAGGGAGGCAGGGAGGCAACGAAGCAGGGAGGGAGGGTGGCAGGGTAAAGAAATAGAGGGAGGGAGGGAGGGAGAGAAATATGGAGTAAAAAAGGGAGCGAAAGGAGGCTGTCATCCACATCGGGTAACTGTCAGTATCAGATGAAGAAGGTCTATCATATACCCTTTATACGTTCCAACCAGCCTTCAGTTCTAAACACACACACACACACACACACACACACACACACAGGGCCTCCTCCGTATTCCCAACACAACTCTGAAAAAAGTCGTCAGGTGTAATTAATCTTCAGTTGAGTTCTTTTTTCGCGTTACGTATAAGTGAACTGCCACCCCCCAAAAAAAAACAATCCCCCAGAGTAATTAGGAAACCTGTGTAGGTGAGAGTATTTGGAGAACACAGGAAAATGAGGAGGAAATGAGGGAGAGAGAGAGAGAGAGAGATGATGAACTTAGATATTATTATTATTATTATTATTATTATTATTATTATTATTATTATTATTATCATTATTATTATTATTATTATTATTATTATTATCATTATTATTTTTATTATTATTATTATTATTTTTATTTTTATTATTATTATTATTATTATTATTATTATTATTATTATTATTATTATTATTATTATTATTATTATTATTATTATTATTATTAGCAATAGTAAGTGAAACGTGGGTTGCTATCACCGTAGAGTTTAACGCGTCCTTCCTCGGAGCTACTGAAACAAACTTCTTCTTTATCACCAAAATAACTTTGTATAACTTTACTCTGTATTGACAAGCAAAATCCTTCTGTATGTGTGTGTGTGAGTGCATGTGTGTGTTTTTGTATGCATGTGTGCATACTTGAGTGTTTGTGTGCGTATCTCTATATCTTTACAGTTATATTAATGTTGGGATTATTACACACATACAGTACACATTTATACACATCTATACCAAAGAAAATATAAAGTATATCCGTACGTGTCCACCTTCATTTGGTCCATCAAGGTGTAATGAATATGACGGGATGAATATATTGCCCTTGGTTAATGAGGTAGTTAGTATGCGGGTCGTTACCGGTGAAGGCTGTTGTTCATTCCTGCTTCCTCATTGGTTCCTTGAATATTTATTACCTGTGTTTTTAGGCCTTCAGGTAAGGTTGTGTTTTACCTGTTTATTTAGAAGGTTGGCCAAACAAGGAAAGCATTAGCAGAAGGAAGGATAAGAGAGGAGAAGAAGGAGGGAGGAAGGAAGGTCCACACGCCATTATCGAGAGGCCATAAAATTTGTCTCCTGGCCACCAAGGAGGCCATATATCGTCCCTCTGGGCTCCAACATAGCTCAAAATTTCTCCCAGAGGTATGGAAGGCCACAAATATTTCGTTATGGCCATCAATATTTCCAGAATTTCTACATGGCCAGATAAAAGGTTACAAATCATCCTTTTTTGCCACAGAAGAAGCCACAGTTGTCTCCTATAACCTCCACTATGGCCACAGTTGTCTTCTAATAATACAAGAAGCCACAAAGGTCTCCTCTCGTATCTAAGGTGGCCTGACATTTCGCCTCTGCCCACCCTGAGTGCCACATGGAGGCCACACGGAGGCCAAAAGGAGGTCATACGTCAACCTGGCGTCGACTAAGTACCTATTAATTCTTCCATAGACGGACAACAAGACCTGGAAGTAATTGAAGTGTTGTGGTGGTGGTGGTGGTGGTGGTATTCACACACACACACACACACACACACACACAGTCGGTATAACACTGTGATGACTCTATACAACTGTGGTGGAGAAGGTGTGTGACAAGTATGTAAATGTGCGTAACGGGTGTGTAATTGTGTTACGGTAGACCAGGTGTGTAAGACGGAGTGGAAGGTGTCATGGTATTATGAAAGCTCTCTCTCTCTCTGGTAACGCATCTAATAATAATAATAATAATAATAATAATAATAATAATAGTAATAATAGTAATAATTACAATAATAATAATAATAATAATAATAATAATAATAATTATAATAATAATAATAATAATAATAATAGTAATAATAATAATAATAATAATAATAATAATAATAATAATAATAATAATAATAATAAATATGTTCAATGAATTTTTTTTGTGTAGCCAATTAGCTGTGTTGGTAATATCCCGCCTGATTGATCTTTGTGATGATGAGAGAGAGAGAGAGATATTATACGACAGGTGCTCCGTATATACCACCTGGCAGACCCTCCCTCACATCTACTACTACAACTACACTGTTAAATCCTCTGAGGTGAATTGAATTGAATTGAATTGAAACAGTTTATTTAGCCAGAAAAACACAGATACAGAGTGGATAAAAATAGCAATATTAACATGGCTGAGCCAGTTGAGAACCTGAGCTCTCTTTTAGGCACCTGATATATACTATACATTTATGTCAAGGAATTATTTTGTAACATTTATTATCATTCGGAATAGTACAATAGCATGGTGGTAATAAGAACATCTCATAATGTTACCACGGTTATCACTTCAATATTTATATACTGTATGTCGACTGCGTTTGTCTGTCTGTCTTATGAGGTAGGTAGATAGGTAGGTAGG